CAATTAATCGCCTTACCTTTATTATCCCTTTTCATCATTAGAAATAACCAAGGTGGACAAGTCAACCCTTCACCAAGTCCTATTACTCCCAAACACATATCACAAGGAAATATGTGAATTTCATACACTTAATAAGGATTTAGAAATTCACTTGCCTCGATCAATCAAGAATTCACTCCGGAACTTGAGCCTTCTCCTTTCGTTGAACTTCCAACTCAGAGCAATCTATTCAAATAAATAGTCACAATAAGATTTCAAAACTCACGACACTCATATTACTATGTGTTTATTCTTGAACCACAAATTCACCCAAATTTATGATTAAGTTCTTAAATCTTGATGACAATTAACACTTCAAATATCATATTTTCCATATTTCAAATCTAAAGTTAAGTTCCAATTTTTTCAAATAATACAACGCAATAATTTTCATATAATATAATATCACTAATATTTAATTGCATATAGTAATAATAATAGTACCTACACTTGATATATGGTTTAGTATAAAGATTTAAGAGTGATTAATATAATTACATTACAATAAATATGATATATAAACGAAATTATTAGCTACGATATCAAATTCGTCACTAATTATTCGTTTTAGTGATAAAAGTTTACTTTTCGTGCTTAAATATATGAGACACAAACTTTTAGTGACGAAACATAAAAATTCACAGCAAAGTTTTGTCCACTAAAGTTTCCCACCAAAAAATTAATTGGCTTCATTTGTTTAATAGTGTTAGTAACGAATTTAAAGTTATCTGTGACACATTATTTTGTCACTAATAATGTATCTAATTCATAAAAACATATGTTGTCTTATAATTTATTAAATTTTGATTGAAAAAATTCATCTAAAAAAACATGTTGTTATAATATTGACAAATTAAAATTCGCAGTTAAATATTATAAATTTTAGCTATGAAAATTAAAATTTAATTATGACATTTATTTCACATAATTCAGAGGCAATTTTAACCCTTTTCATTTATTTATAACAACAGAATTCGGGGGTAAGTGAAATTTAGAAGCTTACTGCAACCTCAACACCATCTCCTTTAACTGTAATTTTTGATTATAAGCTTTAATATTTGCAACTTTCTTTAAAAGAGTATTTGTATCAATTCTGTCAAGAAAAGTTGCTCATTTCATATTGTGCAATGCTCTTGCTGGTTATTGATTGCCGGAAGTTAAGGATCTAATTTAGATGGTATGAACTTTTCACTTTCTCCTTTGAGTATCACAGTGAGCTTTCGTGGCAGTTGAGGACTGATTTTAATAGAAATTTTATGTCACGATTTAAATTATCGTGAATGGCGTCCATACTAATTCTTCAATGGGAGAACTAACTACTAACTCGACTTAACCCGTCATGGTAGTTATGAAAATCAAATTATGAAAGAAACAACTAAAAGCAATTTAAAATTTGTTTGAGTTTTCATAAACTCAATCAATAGTTAAAACATTGTAAAATTTAAGCACTTGAAAAGGAAAGTGGAAGTACAAAACTTTAATTAGTCAATAATGAGGATGCAATCGCGAAAGCTAGAAAACACAAGCTAATAGTTTAATGTATGTGTCTTAAGATATGGACAAGAAGATGCTAATGCTAACAAAACAAAGAAATTTAAAATTCAAATCCCTTCCCTTTTCTTTGTTGAAGAAACCTTTCAAAGTGATGAAGAGATACAATGTTTTGATGTGTGCAATTGTGTGTGTTGAAGATAGAAAAAGGGACCATTCTCTTAATGTATATACTTGAATTAAGAATTGATAATTTATGTTACATACAAATAACAATATATATAGTTATTTCAAACAATTTAAATGTGAAGGTGAAGCAAATGTACATGGATAAAGCTAATTTAATGGTTGTAACGACAAAATACAAAATAGATCATAGCTTGAATTTTTGAGTTATAATATCTGATAACAAAAGGTATGTGACCATAATTATTGTATTGTAATACACTCTTTTTTTACTTTTTGAATATTTAAGTGTTAAACATTGTTAGTTACAAGTTGATACATCACTAATTTGCTACTTATGTGTTGGCTTCTTAGATTTGTGTATCAATTTGTGGTTATTATAAAGAACCATGTACATGTTTATTCGTTCTTCTTATTATTGGTAATCTATCATTATAGAGGCATGAATAATTAAGACACATACTTTTTTAATGTATTTGTTAGTATATTAATCATGATACACTTCTAGTTAGAACTTGATATATAACGAGTTCGTCGCAACTGTGTTGATTTTTAGATTTGTGTATCAATGTGTTGTTATTATAAAGTAACGAGTAC